AAAAAAAAAAAAAAAAAAAAAAAAAAAAAATCTTACCATATAATCTGTTTTGTTACTGTTGCTAAAGTTTCAAGTATATGGATGGAAAGGTTATGTTTAAGATTTAAAACACACAGAGAAGTAACTCACCTAATATTCAAAAATAGCTCTCAGGGCCAGGGATTTAGCTCAGTGGTTTGGTGTCCTGCCTTGCAAGCGCAAGGACCCAAGCTCAATTCCTGCTACCAAAACAAAACAAAACAAAAAAAACCCAACAAAAATAGCTCTCAATGACAGTTATGTTTTGAGCACATCCAAAATATTCTGCTATGTCGTGTTCCTACCAACACACCTATCAGTAATAACTCTAAAATTATTTTGTCATAAATTTATGTAGAAGAAATATCTGAGTATCGTTGTGCCATTTTAAAAAATGCATATATGATCACTGTATTTTTAAAAAAAATTTTCTATGATTTTGGAATTATGATTATGATTTCTCCACTGCCAACAATTTGTATTCCAGTTGCACTACAGTTTTAAAACATTCATTTTTAATCTAGTCAGAAAGGAGCCATATTTGTACATGGTTGTATTTGGGAGAAATTTTTTAGGGTGTGAGAGTTCTACAGATACTCTGCCTTAAGTATTTAAATACTTTAACATGATGTTGCCCTCAATAAAGGTCTTGGCTTGTTCTTGTGTGTAAGTTTAAAAATCTCACCTATCTACATGTCAAGCAAATGCCCTGGGCTATGACTGAAGATAATAATTTAAGATTTATGTATCCCTCTTGAAGGTTATAGTTGTGTGGTGAATTGACAGTTTTGAAGGACCTAACATGACATCAAAGGGTTCAAATGATTTAGTTTGGTCAGTTAATTTTTACCTTCCATTAAATTCCTTTAATGTTTCCTTCTTTTTCTTTCTTTCTAGCCCAGTCCTATTCCCAGTCCTGTTTTGGGGCGAAAGCCAAATGCTAGTCAGTCATTGCTTGTATGGTGTAAAGAGGTTACGAAAAACTACCGGGGAGTAAAAATCACCAATTTTACTACATCATGGAGAAATGGTTTATCTTTTTGTGCAATATTACATCACTTTAGACCAGACTTAATGTAAGTAGAAACACTTTACATTCTCTATTTTAATATTTTATAAATAATAGACTTTCTGCATACCCTTGTTTTATTGGAGATGGAACCCAGAATCTTTGCACTGAGCTACATCCCCAACACTTTTTTTTTCAACTCTTGCACATTTATTTCTGTTGTTTTTTTATTAGACATGTTTTATAGAACACAAATAATTTCTATACATCTATGCCAAAATACTTGACTTTGTTTCATTTTTACTAACCACGTCTCTTGTTTTTTTAGAGAAGTGTGTGCCAGAAAAAAATCCTTCCTTTTCAACACCTATAGTAATCTTTTCCTTTTTAAAAAAAGAATATTTTTCCTTAACCTCATACAAAGAACTGACTTCAAATTATTATGAAAATTGTGTTTGTGTTAAAATGAGATGACACAAAATATGCCCGTAACTCTTTGTACATTGACAACAAGGGATTACCTTGTGGTAAGTTTGGTTGTTAAGGCTGGTGTCTGGTCCCCTGCCTTAATTTCTCTTTCAGATGGAAAGCTTCAGGCAGGGAAATGTATAATCACTGCATGTATGTATATATGCATGTATATATGTATTTCCTTAATTTTCCACAGTATTAATTTTGTTAATTGAATTGCTGTGAAATTGCTAGTTTTTCTTTGGTATTATTTTAGATTCGGTTTGTTTTAAAAACAGCTTTTTTTTTAATGAAATACTGTATGTACCCACTGTACCATTTTTCCCTCAGTGACTACAAGTCTCTGAATCCTCAAGATATTAAAGAGAACAACAAAAAGGTAAGAATTGCCAAGGGAAAAAGACATAGCTTCAATTTTGGCTTCTCTGCAGATTTTTAATAAACGTGAGGGGGTTTTTGGTGAGGTTATAACTCAGCTTACGGAAGATACTCTGCTTCCTGAATTTTAAATTGGATGTATGATTTGTTCTCATTTATTATGAACTTTAAAGATCACAACTGCCAGGTTGGCATCAGATTATAATATCTGTATGACCTTCAATACCTGTTAAATGATTGTTAAAACACGTTATATTTATTCTAAGATTTAGCTTTTTAAAGTGTACCCCAAACTGTAGTGCTATAACTATTATGGAAGTTTAGAAAAATATGTTAGAGATGTAAGCAGGAATCTAATAGGTAAATAAGAAAGTATGCCTGGGTTTGTAGAAACAAGATACAGACATTGATTCTTCTCACTTTCTGTTAAACCATACATGCAAACATACATACGTATATATTTTTCCACATACATAATATGCTGAGACCAAGCTTTCCAACTAGTATGTGGGGATATTGATTCTTTAGGCTTCAGGGGCAGCTTTATAGGGCTGGGTTGCTGGAACCCCCTGGGCCAGCTGACTGTTGCTCCAGGGTGGTTACTATAGTGCACAGCCTGGTATTAGAATTTTCTGTGTGCAGGGAGGTAAATACCAAACTCTGAATGTACTAGATATTCAATCTTTGTTTCCACTGAATTATATTCTTCAACTGAAAAATTAATCAGTATGTCACTGTTTTAGAATAGAAGTTCTTTACCTTTGATCTGTGGATATAATTCCAGGGCTGTTAAACATGGTTACAAGAAAAATACATATTATTTACTATAATTCTTTAACTAAACCTTGACATTTCCTTCAGCTACGAATTTAGCAGCATATCATGGTAATATTAACCATGCTTGAAATTTTGTCACTTTTAGAAATCACAGATATTTTCATATTTTACTATAGTTACAAATTTCTACAAATACCTTTTAAGGTTATCATTCCTTCACAATTTCATGAATACATTCATAAGAAATTCAGACTTTACTCTTTCCAAAGTTCAGTTTTACAGTATGTTTATAGTTGTATTTTTCAGTATAATTGATTGACCCTTTATATATTTTATACATGTAAAACATTCTGAGAAGAGAGTTCATAGAACAAAGGTGTTAAAAACCTCTGGTCGGCCCAGGGATTTGGCTCATTGGTTCTGCCACCTGCCTCACAAGTGCAAGTTCCCGAGTTCAATCCCTGGCACCCGCACCCGCCCCCGCGCCAAAAAAAACCCTCTGGTCATCGCTAAATGAAATTAAACAGCAGAGACAGTTAAATATTATATTGCATGGTTTCTCTTATATGAGAAACTCAGTGTAAAGATCAAAATACTGTAGGGGCTGGGGATTTAGCTCAGGGGTTCTGGTGTTTGCCTTGCAAGCACAAGGACCTGAGTTCAATCCCCGGTACCCCCCCCACAAAAAAGGAGCAAAATACTGTAAAAGATTATACGAAACAGGAGATAGGCTTTGGATATGAATATGAGATCTAGAGATGGAGGAAGAGGGGAGGGAGAGGAAAGGGGCAAGTAAAATAGTATTAAGATGTAATATTTATATGTACAACTCCCTATAATGAATATATCCAGTATGTATCGCATATATGTACTGTGCTAATGAAAAACTTTTTAATGCACTTTATTTTATTTTATTTTTTTGGTGCCAGGGATCAAACTCGGGACCTTGCATTTAAGAGGCACGCGGCAGAACCCCTGAGCTAAATCCCTGGCTCTTTAATGTACTTTAGATAATTAAAATGATCAGTGATAAAGTCTTATGATTTTAGTAAAAGTTCAATTTTTTTTTCTTCTTTGACATATAAATTTTATATCTTTTGATACATATATCCAGTAAGGTGACTGCTGGGTCATGTAGTGATTCTATTTTTAATTATTTTTTAAAGTTCAATTTTCAAACAAGAATTTAAGTCAAAACATTTTTTGCTTATTGCTCTCTAAATTTGTATTGCTGTAAAAATTATTTCTTCACAAATGTATGATGTTACCACCAAAAAGTTAATCTTTAAAAATCAGTGTAATTTTCTTCATAGAAATTGCCTATTGGTAGACATACCACAAAGTAAGTAATTCTCATGAATTGTTTCTTATATAATCTTGGGAAAATGAAAGGACTGTTTTCATTACTTAAATCATATTCTTTAATGCTACAGTTCTTTACCTGAATTTTCTTGCATTTGAATAAAATGTTAAGCTAATTTAATATAGCTACAATATTAGCATTATAAAATAAAGGATTAATAGCCATTCAGTAGTGTTGGTATGCACCTGTAGTCCCAGCTGCTCTAGAGGTTAAAGCAGGAAGATTACATGGCACCCCCATGAGTTTGAGACCAGCCTAAGCAACATAGCAAAACCTTATCTCAAAAATAAGTAATTAATAAAATAAGTCATTATCTTTATAGAGTGGAGCTTTCAATTTACTCTTCAGAGTTTTGAAAGGAAATACTTTTGATTTTTACCTACCTACATACTGTATTTAAGTCATATTGAGAATCTCTGGCTGGGGATTTAGCTCAGTAAGTAGTACCACTGCCTGCCTCACAAGCACAAAGACCAGAGTTTGACCCCCAGCACCCCCCAAAAAAGAGAATCTCATTAAGCCTTAAATTATACTTTGCATTATTTTTTCAGGAATGGTGAACCATACCTTTTACTTAACATATTACTACATAGAATAATAATACAATATTCCATTAAAACTCAAATTATTTTCAGATATGGAGGTGTAACTCATTGGTAGACTGCCTAGCATGGGCAAGACCCTAAATCTTAGTCAGATCTTTTCAGGGGAGATCTTTCTTGCTTCAGCTGGTTCTTCCCCATAACCCTGTGTACCTTTGATTAGACTTAAAGCTGCATAAGAAATAATGCCTGTATCCTAAATTTCACAAAGATGCATAACTGTCAATGACTCCTCCGTGCCAATTTACTGAATGAGACAATTTCCTTTGAAAAAAAAATCTCTTTTTTTCACACACAGAGTTAAAGACAGTGGATGATTGACCGTAGCAGAAGAGGTTAACCTATAGGAAAATTCTTTTAGAAAGTGTTGACTGTGCTTACAAGAAACCTGGTTTATTTTTTAGTGTGTATAAAATGAATTGCTATGTGAAGCAAGACACCAGCAGGGGTTTCCCCACAAGGAAGCTAATCATTTCCCCAGGTCTATAAAAAGTATTTTTAAAAAATTTAAAAAACTATTTACCTGTAGCATATGATCTTAACCAGTATGTCAGTGTTTTAGATAATTAGGAAATGTTTAGAATACTGCCTAAAGATGGTCTACAGTTGATATCTGTCAATCAGGTCAACATGACATAGAACTAAGAAAATGTTTTTAATTTTCCTGAAACATGTAAAATAACAAACAAGCCTATACATGCACACCAACCAAGTCATTCTCTCTAGTAAATATTTTCAGGTACCTATATTATGAAGCATAGTGCTGTGAAAATTGAAGTGGTTTTAATATCACTATTTTTCATTTTCTTTCCCACTTAACATTTATTAAACTACAGGTAGAACACCAGACAAGGATTAAATTCAAAGGTAGAAATGTACTTTAACATATAAGTGCAAAAGACTGATCTCTTCTCAATTGTTAAGTAATCCTAGCATTTCTTCTAAGAAAAACTTTGTATTAGACTCTAAAATGTAGGTTGTTATGAAGAATTTTTATTTTAATGTCTTAAAGCAAGAATTATCTAGGGTCCTCATTTTATCTGAGACCTTTAGCTGTACTTCTCATTCTTCTTAGCAACACAGTGCTGTTTTCAAGGGTTAGTTGAGGATAGTAATAATTGTAAATTGAGAAACAGCTTTGATTCTTCAAAACTAGAAAAACCTGATGTGCCACACGCATTTAAAGGAAGGCTAACAAAAATAATACAATGCAGCCTCACATTCTCAGCTAGGTTGCAGTACTCAAAACATTTCATTCTTTCCAAAATGGTTGAAGTAAAAATGAAGTCACTCTTCTCATTATGAAAATCAGTCTTAATTGGGCATTTTAAAAATGTTTCTATATTTCTAAACTTAAGTAGCATTAATTTGTATCTTACATTTAGTAGTTCTTTTTACTCATCTAGATGTACTTTTTCTTCACTTTACAAGTCCATGAAAAAGAGTTGACAACAATGATTAGTCTAATAATTCTTTATACTTTAGTTTCTTAAAAATCATTTTAATATTTTGGTTTTAACTCATTTTTGTTTTCTTTTTAGAAAAGGATTTTTTTTTTCTTATTTGAGTTCCTGAGACGCGGGACTTTATTTTATTTTATTTTGTTAGTACATGTTCATATTACATGCATTATATAATCATCTTGGAGAGTGGGTACAGGTACATAATACAGTTTGCTTCCTTTTTTAAAATCTTCCCTATTCCTCCTCCCTGAATTCTCCTCTCCCCATTTTCATTCTTATTGATATTATTAATCTTAGCTCATATTTATGGCATATAATGTTTACATTCATTAAGGTTATTAGGTTCCTAAACATGGCATATCTTTATTCTACTTCTTTCTCCTTCTGATCCTCCCCCCTCACTCCTCACCCTTGATCTCTTGTATGATTCCTATTTGTAAGAGATCCATTCCCTTGTCTGCTTCTATCATCCCCTCTTGATGTCTTTTTGCTTTGTCTTACTCAAATGAGAGATACCATGTGGTATTTAAGCCTGTGTGTCCAATTTATTTCATTCAACATTATATTTTCCAGGTGCATACATTTTTCTACAAATGTCTCAAATTTGTTCTTTCCAGCAGACTAATATTCTATTATATATAGATACCACAGTTTCTTTATTCATTCATTTATTGATGGGTATACAGGTTGCTTTCAGGATTCAACTGTTAAGAATTGTGCTGCTATAAATATTGATATACATGTATAACTTTAGTATGATGTCTTATGCTTTTTGGGAAAGATACCTAGAAAAAGGATAGCTAGGTCATATGAAATTTCTAATTTTAGTTAAGAAATTTCCATACTGATTTCCACAGTGGTTGTACTAGTTTAAATTCCCACCAACAATAGAAAAAAAGAATATTTCAATTGTTTAATAATCCTTTGCTTCTTATTTCTACCCATTTTAATGTATTTTTTGACTTTTGGAATTTTATTCTTTTCATGTGGCCTAATAATGTCAGTAACATTATATGCCCTGGAACAACAAAAAATTTGAATTTTGCTGTTTTTAAAATGTATGAACTATCTGAGATACTCAGTTTTTCTTTCCTTTGAAGGCTTACGATGGATTTGCCAGCATAGGAATTTCCCGGTTATTGGAACCTTCGGATATGGTCTTACTAGCAATTCCTGACAAACTGACTGTTATGACTTATCTATATCAAATAAGGGCACATTTCAGTGGCCAAGAACTAAATGTTGTTCAAATAGAGGAAAACAGCAGTAAAAGCACATATAAAGTTGGAGACTATGAAACAGATACAAACAGTTCTGTTGATCAAGAAAAGTTCTATGCAGAGCTTAGTGACCTGAAGCGGGAGCCTGAACTGCACCAGCCTACCAGTGGAGCAGTAGACTTCTTATCATCTCAGGATGACTCTGTATTTGTAAATGATAGTGGTGTTGGAGAGTCAGAGAGTGAGCATCAGACTCCCGATGATCATCTTAGTCCAAGCACAGCTTCCCCTTACTGTCGCAGGACTAAAAGTGACACAGAACCTCAAAAGTCCCAGCAGAGCTCTGGAAGAACTTCAGGATCTGATGACCCTGGAATATGTTCCAATACAGAGTTAATCCAAGCACAGGTTTTGTTAGGGAAGAAGAGAGTATTGAAAGCTGAGACTTTAGAATTAAGTGACTTATATATGAGTGATAAAAAGAAGGAAAAGTCGCCATCCTGTATTTGTGAGGAGACAGATCATCAAAAGCTTCAGACTTTAAACAATAGTGATTTGGAGGAAGAAAAATTAGAGAATTCCAGATCCTTAGAATGCAGATCAGATGCTGAGCTAGCTATCAAGAAAACAAGTTTATCTCCTACTTCTAAACCTGGATACCTATACAGTAAAGATGCAGACCTTGCAAGAAAGAAACATACTTCCTTAAGGGAGACAGAGTCTGATGCAAGTGCTGATAGAACCACATTAAATCATGCTGATCATTCTGCCAAAACAGTCCAGGTAAGTGAGTTAAAATGAGTACATATATTTAGAATCAAACTTTTCTAAAGCATTTTTTCATTTAAAATTGCTGGTAGTCCTATTTTTCTTTATAGTATTTCTCCTCTTTTCTGTCAAAGCATGGCTTTGAAGCAGTGGTTCTCAAAGTATGATCTGAGGACCTCTGAGACTTTCCAGAACTCTTTCATACAGCCCCAAAGTTGAAACATTATTTACCTTTATAGGGACTTATTTACCTTTATCACTCTCATTGTCTCACAAATGTATAATATATATTCTGGTGGCTACATGATTCCCGATATTCTTGAGATTGAACAAAACATGAGTAGGAGAACCAGATGCTTTTTTCCTTACACTGTATTGCAGATTTACAAAACATGTAAAATAATGCATTCTTACTTGGTTTTTTTTTTTCATTGTTGTTCTTGTTTTTTTGTATCGGGGATTGAACTCAGGACCTTGTGCTTGTGATGCAGGTAGCAGCACCACTGAGCTACATCCCCAGCCCCTGGTTTGTTTTTAAAGTAACTAATTTTTTATTGAAATACGTTAAAACTAATGTGTTTGGATATTTCTAAATGAAAATACAAATATTTTTAAATTTCTGGTTTAATTTTCAGAATGACAAATAACAATAATACATTTCACATAAAAGGTAGTTCTTTAGCATTCTCAGTAATTTTTAGGCATATAAAGAGATCCTGTGACCAAAATGTTTTAGAGCTTCTAAATTATAGTATTTTTCTACAAGTATCTCTGGGGTTTTCTCCAAAGTCAGTAATACTCATTGATAATAGTACTTTTTTTACTTTACCAGGTCTTAAGAGAGAATTTTTTAGACAGTAACCTGAAGTTATGTTTTTTTCTTACATAGTAGTCAGCCCTTCGTATCCTCATGTTCTGTATCCATGGATTCAACCAACCGCAGATTGAAAATAGTTTATTTAAGAAAAAAAAATCTGTATTGAATATGTACATACTTTTTTCTTGTCATTATTCTCTAAGCAATACAGTTTAACAACTACTTGCATAGCACATTGTATTAACTATTAAAAGTAACCTAGAGATGATTTAATTAAAGTATACAAGAGGATGTATATAGATTATATTCAAATAGTATGCCATTTTATATAAATTTTAGGATCAAAGAAATATAATAGCTATCAAAGCAAGTCCCTGTTCTCCTAATCAAGATAACTCAAATCATAGGTCCTAAGTAGCTAAACCTCCCTGAAAGCTTTCACAACAGCAGTTGGGGCTGTAGCTCAGTGGTATAGCACTTGCCTATCATGTGCAAAGTCATCAGTAAACATCTAGTAATTAACAGATGCAGTATTTATTTGATATCCCTTCATGGCACTATCTACCACAGATTTTTGTTTGTTTGTTGTTGGATTTGCTTTGTTTGTTTTTTGGGACAGGGTCTTACTGTGTAGTCCAGTCTGGCCTTGAATTCATGATCCACCTGTCTCAGCTTCTGCAGTGCTGGGATTACAGGTGTGTTCCACTACACCAGGTTTTTATTTATTATTTTGTAACAGGATCTCACTAAATTGCTGAATTACCCAGGTTAAACTCAAACTTTTAGTCTTCCTACCTCAGTCTCCCAGAGTGCTAGGATTACAGGCATGCATGACTACACCTAGCTATAAACCAGATTTTTAAGGAAATTCTATTTAGTTAAATCTAGAAATGTATTACTAGTTAAAAATTAGAAATATTCTGAAGGAGACTCAGTAAACCTGGATTCTCATTTTAACTCAGTCATAAATTAGTGCTATGATATGTTAATTTAGCCATTTAAGCTTCTCAATCTCATTTTCCACATATGTTAAATGAAGTAATCTCTTAGGGCTCTCTTAGCTCTATAAAATTCCATCATGTGATTCCGTCATGCAAACTGCTGTACAAGATGATGGAAGCATCATCTATGTATATCTCCATATGTTCATTGCCCATTGGTTGTCATGGTCAGAATTTTGCTTAAGGACTGGGAGTGGTGGTGCACACCTGCAATCCCAGGAGACTGAGACAGGAGGATTGCCATGAGTTCAAGGCCAGCCTGGGCTAGATAGGTAGACCCTGTCTAAAAAACCCAAATAAATAAAGAAAGAATTTTCTTAAGGTAAGTTTAAAATTTGTTTGGTACTAGGTTGGCAAAACTGATGTCTAACATGAAAGGTTTTAAAAATTATATATAGTAGCTACATTTTGGACAATTAAATATCTGTCCCTTGTACACTATATCAATTATCAGATATGTATCTCACATTTTATCTTCTCTACAAGATATTATATACTCATATCAGAATTAATTGGAAGTGTTCTTAGCAAGTGATAATTGTGGCATTGTATTATAGGAAATTTAGTAATTTAGTATGTTTTTAATTTTTGTTTTGGTTTTTTGAGACAGGGTCTTGCTATTGTAGTTCAGGCTGGCCTTGAACTCACTATGTAGCCCAGGTAGGCCTTGAACTTGTGGTGAGGCTTCTGACTCAGCCTCTCAAGTGCTGGAATTACAGGCATGCACCACCATGCCTGGCACATAATACATTTAAGGTCATGTGATGACAGTTATATATATATTAAACGCATCTCTCTTAAACTTTGCAACTCATGAAGTAAGCAGTTGAATCCCATGTTCTATATGGGAAACCTGGAGTTTACAGTTATCTGTGGTCACATAATGTTAAAGTTTGAGCTCAAAGCCAATCATGTCTGGCAACAAAGTCTGTGCTCCTAAAGTTTATGCTCACAATATTGCTTATTTTTTTTATATAATAATAGCACAAAAAATTATCATAGCCCAAAGGTAAAGTGTCAGCTTTACTAAAGGCAATTTCGTATTTAGTGTGCATCAAGTCCTTTAAAAATGTTTATGTCATACAGGCATGGTGACTTACCCCTTGTAGTCTCCTTTATTTGGAAGATGACACAGATCACTTGAGCCTGTGTATTTGAGCCCAGCTTAGGCAACATAGCAAGACCTTGTCTGAACAAATCAAGTAAAATACCAGTGTTTTATCTCATTAGGTTTTATGTCTAGAAACTTTTCCTAAGGAGATACTCAGAATTATATGTAAAAATTTACATATAAGAATGTTCATAAAATAATGTCCATTATTTCTAGGACTGGGGATATAGCTTAGGATAGAGAATCAATCAATGCATTATTTATATTAGCGCAAAAATTAGAAACAACCTATATGTACAGTAAAGTAATATGTAAAGTATGGTGCATCTGTATAATAGAATGCTAGGTAGCCTATGAAAAATCCTGTTTTTAAAAAAATACAGAAAAGCCGGGGATTTAGCTCAGTGGTTCGGTGGCCTGCCTTGCCAAGCACAAGGACCCGAGTTCAATCCCCGGTACCAAAAAAATACAGAAAATACATGAGAAGAAGCTTACAATGAAGTATTGAGAAAGCTAGGTTACTATTTTTTTATTTGTATTTCCTAAAATCTCCATAATACGAAATGGGTTTGTAAGAAAAATGTAATTCGTGTTTATGTGCTCTTAGGACCATAGCTAGTTGGAATCACTAAAGGACTATAGAATTTAGAGCTAGTAGGGTCTTAAAGATGTTTTACTCTCAGTCAATTCAAAGATAAATTGAGTACTAATAGTACTTACAAAAGCACTGTTAACATTTCTCCAGTGCTTGCCATGTGCCAGTGGTGAATATAGTACTCTACTCTTGTTACTTAATTTTACACTGTGCTTATGAGGGTTGCTCTGTTTTGATCCCAATTTTATTAAATGAGGAAATGGAGGCTTGTGTTGAGTAACTTCACTATAGTTAAGTGATAGATCTGGTATTTGGCGTTTGAACCCAAGCCTGTCTGACCCACCCCCCCTTTTTGTACTGGGGATTGAACTCAGGACCTTGTGCTTGTAAGGCAGTCAGCAGAACCACTGAGCTAAATCCCCAGCCCATGACCCCCAAAATTTTAACCATCATATGATGGTTTGCAGTACATAGGTGGTTTTTGTTTGTTTGGGCAATAACTGGGGATTGAACCCAGAGCCTTCAAATTGAACTACATCCCAGGCCCTTTTTTAAACTTTTTGAGATAAAGTCTTGCTGAGTTGCTTAGTGTGGGCTCAAACTTGTGATCCTCCTGTGTCTGCCTCAGAGTTCTGGGATTATATGTATCTGTGGTATCCCCATGCTCAGCTACAGTATACAGTACTTTCTAAATGACTTGCTTGGTGTTACATTGCTTAATTATTTTTAATGTGAGAATGTAATTAACAGTCTGATGTCTTAACTGCAAATTAAGTGTTCATTGAATTACTTTTGTCTATTTTTCAGAAAGTACAGTATTTGTATTATGAGTCAAAATATAATGACCAGTAATATCACGTCCTGTCAACATAACCTAGAATCTGTCATTGCCACTTACACATTTCATTTTTATCCATTCAGAATTTTTGTTTAATCCTCTTAAAATTTTGAGTGATGAAAATGTTACTGTAATCCCAGGACTCAAGAAGGTGAGGCAGGGACTGGAGATTTAGCTCAGTAGTCTCTCTACCTGCCTTTCAAGCACAAGGTCCTGAGTTCAATCCCCAGTACCAAAAAGAAAAAAGGTGAAGCTGAGGCAGAAGGATCTTGAGTTTGAGCCTAGCCTGAGCTACATAATGAGTTTAAAGACAGCTGGACTTCATAACAACACCCTATCTTTTTTTTTTTTTTAAAAAACCCCCTTTTTTTTTTTTTTTTTTTTTTTTTTTTTGGTATTGGACATCAAACTCAGGACCTTGCACTTGCCAGGCAGGTGCAGCACCACTGAACTAAATCCCTGGCCCACAAGATCCTATCTTTTAAAAAAAAAGTAAAAACAAAACAAAAAAAGTTCTGGAATTATTGGTGATAGTTTATAACCTTGTGACTATACCAAAAACAATCAGTTGTATGTTTTAAGGCAAATTTTAAGATTACAGAAAAAAGGTTTAAAATATAGTCAAAAATAAAGATCACAAAGACAAAATGTGCTTAATGTTTTTTTAAATGATTATTTCATATAATACTAAATAAAAGAATGGGTTTCTTGTTTATTTTCCTTAACCACAAAAACTATACAGTGAAAAGGAAGTAAAAAAGAACTAACCGTCAGAGTAATAGTAATAGCCTTCTAAAACCAAACATTGGTTTGTTTAGTTAGTAGAAAAAAAGGAATTTGAAGAGTTCAGATATTGTGCCTTTCATTAATACTATCATTTAAGAACTGATTTTCATTAATGGCTAATATCTACTGTACTTCAAAATTACATTGTAAAATCACAAGTTAACCAAGAAAAATACTTTTCTAATTCTTGTGTGTTTGATTATTTTGTTACACAGAGGATGAACTATGGAGAAAACCAGTTTTATAAAATATAAAATATAAAAATATATAAAATATACTATATTTTATAAAATATAATAGTTGTTGCTTTAAATTTTCTATACATGTTAACTGTCATGACTTTAAGACTATTGCCACTGGCATTTTATATCAATGTACAAAGTTAGAAGATATATTGTTATCAATTGTATGATATCAATTATATGACTATAAAATAAAATTGTGACCTAAAATATGGATCTAATGAGACTGTATTTTAATAAGAATATAATTAAACTAAATCCAGTTTTAGACATGTATATTTTCTTTATGTCAAGATTCATGTATTTGCTCTATAGCTTCTAGTCAACATTAATATTTTCTATAGACAATCTGTGAAGGAAGCTGTGTTCTTACTCCTGACCACTTTTATTTCAACAGATTTTCTAACCTTTAATTATTTTACAAATGTAGATTACTTCTTTTGGTTTGAGATTTTTAAAATATTGACTTCTCATTCTGTATCTTTGTTTTTCAGCATCGAATGTTATCCAGGCAAGAAGAACTTAAAGAAAGGGCAAGAGTTCTACTTGAGCAAGCAAGAAGAGATGCAGCATTAAAGGCAGGGAATAAGCAGAATACCAATGCAGCCACACCATTCTGCAACAGGCAGATAAGTGATGTGAGGAACATTGCTTGAAAAAAACCTTAAATTGTTCATTATAATCATAATTATAATGTGGTGAGGAGAGTAATTTGCTTGCATTTTTGCTGAATTATCCTTCTGTAGATATTGTACGTTGTGAGTACTTTGTACGTTCATTGAACTGATAAATCTATAACTATAGAATCATGTTGTCATTATTTCTATACAGCAGTATTATTTTCCAGGAAAAGATCATGGAATATAAATTCCTCATTACATAAATAACTTTTGTGTTAATTCACATTTTGTAATCGTGCTGATACTGTTTAAGGTTTCCATGTAAGGTTTAATTTTGTTGAAAATATTGATATAATATTGATGCCTATCATTTTTTGGCTGCCTACCATATAGTTCAAGAATTAAAATTATTTTACTTAACTTCATGAAGATATTCAAATTACTTTCCAGATTAGAAAACTAAGGCCAATATATAAAGCACTTCATACAAGGTCCCCAAGTCAGGAAGTGGTGAATCCAGGATTTAACCGGAGCCTCATTAGATTGTAGAAATAGTGCATACTCCTAGTGTATTCTGTGGTCTTTGTATTAAAACCACATTTGTATACATGTTTTGGTGTATTGCTTCACAGATAATTTGAACATAGAGTATTTGAAGCAATTAAATACAGGGAGACATTGGGCTGGGGATTTAGCTCATTGGTGCCACTGCCTGCCTCGAAAGCACAAGGTGTCCCGAGTTTGACCTGGTACCATTTTTTTTTAAAAAAAAAAAAAAAAAAACAGGGAGACATGAACCTCTTCATGAATCTGAAAACTAAGATAACTCTACCCGCCACCAAAGTCACATATTCACAGAATTCCACACACTTTTTGCAGTTTTGTGGATATTGGTTTAATAATCCATGACCTGCCTGTTGTAATGTATACACTTGTAATGCCAGCACTCTGGGAGGCTGAACCAGGAGGATCACCAGTTCTACCCCAGTCTGAATAACTTAACCTACTGAGACCCTGTCTCACAATAAAAAATAAGGGGTTGGGGATGTAGCTCAGTATAAAGACGCTAATTTTTAAAATTTGAACATTAATAGCCAGGAAGTTAGCTCAGTGGTGCTGCCTGACTTGCAAGTGCAAGGCCCCAAGTTCAATCCCGGGAAAAAAAAAAAAAAAAAAAAATTGAACATTCACTGTATTTTCTATCATACCTGATTTAAAATCAATTTAGTAGGCCACAATAGCTGATTATAAATAAGGATAAATATCATACATAGTGAGCAGTATTTTTTGTTGAAACTTTTGTTTCAGCTACATGAGTGGTGTGCTTACTAGATCTTAATATAAAATGTATTTTAACTATAGATCATGACGAAAAAAGTTTATGAAATACTAATCTTGCTGGGCATGGTAGTACATGCCTATAATCCCAGTTCCTTGGTATTACTTGGGAGGCTGAGGTACTAGAATCAAATGTTTGAGCTGATCCTGGGCTACTTAGCCAGACCCTGACTCAAAATGAAAAATAGAAGGGGCTGGGGATGTAACTTAGTATAAAGGCCCTGGGTTCAATCCTCAGTACCAGAGGGGGTGGGGAGAAGTGCAAATCTAAAAAACCATTTTTTATAAGGAAGAACATGTAGCTTTTATGACAGGTTTTCCAGCTCCTAACCATCTCTTATATCATCAACTTAACGATTCAGATATTTACCAAATATGTTTATGGGGTATCGGAACAAAATCCACTCATAGTAAAAAAAAAAAAAAAGTTAAGCTACTTACTTCATAGTATTTATATTCTTGTAGGAAGAGTTAGATAATAACAAAGTAGTTATAGAGTATGAAAGTCAAGTGATAAAAGTAGAGGGTAATTTGAGAAAATAGGGGCTTAATTGACCTAAAACAGAGCCATTTGAACACAGGGCTCACTTGGTAGGTGAGAAGGATCCAATCAAGTAAAGGGCCACAAAAAGGGTATACAGTAGAAAGACTTTATGATAATATATGTATCATAATTCTTTCAAATTCTAAAAATTGTAGAAAATTAGTATCTTTATTTTTTAAATAATTAAAATTTTACTATGAATTGATTTTAAATGCAGAATACTTCATTTTTGTATGATCTGTCTTCCAAGTAGATTAAAAAATCATTTTATCTGTATATACATTTTACATATCTTAAAATTTTCATCTGATATTTATTGAGTACTTGATCTGTTGTGTCAAGGAAGATTGTAAGTGCTTTCACATAGATTTTCTCATTTAATCATTGGAACAATCACATAAATATTGTTGTCCCCATTTTACAGTGGATAAAACTGACCCACAAACTAATTTATGAATTACCCATGATCACACAACTAATAAGTAACAGATCCAGGAATTGAACCTAGACAGTCTGACTTCAGAGATTATATTCTCAAAGCATTGTGTTATATTTCTTTGTGGTTAGTTTTTCTGTCATTCTTCTGAAGGAAGAATAAATATTGCAGAGAGGAGGAAAATGAGTTTGGAAAAAAGTTTTTAACTTATATAGGTTCACAGACAATGGCAAATTCAGCTCAGAATTTAAATATCCTGAGTTGTAAGGTTGTTTATTCTTAGGTTCAATATATTTGTTCATAGTTCAGCCTTTAAAAACTTGTTATCTCTTTTGTACAAGGCACCATTAATCTTTGTTAGAGTTTTAATTCCCAAATGAAATTTAAACTTTCAGCTATTTTATATATAATGCTAATTCAACATTAGAAATTAATTATAAAAACATCTTTTGTCCCATGTATGGGCATGTTTATCTGTGTATAACTTGAATTTTAAGAAAGTAAAGCTGACATAGCTATATACCAAATTAAAATATAAACTATTATATATATTGTATATAATAATATATTAAAACTGATATAGAATAGATAACTAATATATAAACTAAAATATGACTAATATATAAACTAAAGCTATATACTCTTTTGTATTGCTCATAGCATGGAAATTATAACATCATCAAGAAATGCTTGTTCTGGAGCTGAGAGGGTATGTTTCTCAGTGGTAGAGCACTTGCCTAGACAAGGTCTGCAAGACCCTGGGTTTGATTCCCAACCACCACAACATATAAAAAGAAATCTTCATTCCTTTCACCAAATAATTCCACTAACAAAAATTGCAATATTTAAATTTTAGCAAAAATAGTAGCACAGTCTCACAGTTCTTAAAGCATAGATTTAGGGGAAACAGTAAAGAAATTACAACAAATACTTATACTTGTTGTATATAAAGATTATGTATTTATATTTTGAAAGAATAACGATATCAGAAAATGTTCCCAATGTTATTTTGTATAGAAACACAAAGATATGTAATAGTATATGTGATATGACCTCCATTTTGAAATAATGTAGACTATTTTATATTTGCATTAAAAAGGCCAGAAAGGAAAAATCAAAATGGTAACAGTATTTATCCCTAGAGTGTAGAACAAAATTTGGCTTATAGTGTTTTTTTCCCTTAATTCTTTGTTGAATTAAAAATAATGGCATGTTAACGGAAATAATTGAAGGAATTCTGGGTATCCCCAAAAGATGTTTTTATGAAATTGTTTTCTTAGCATACCCAAACAAAGCTGAGTAAAGCAGTTTCATTTAGTGTAGTTGTATTTCTTTGTGTGTGCATGTATGTGTATGTATTTTAAAAAGAGAGGCAGATAGGCTGGGGATGTAGTTCAGTAGTGAAGAAAAAGTGGAGAGGGGGAAAGAAAGGGGAAGGAAGGACAAGAGGGGGGATAGAAAGATTTTTTCACTTTTACAGTTCATGATTTTAGATTGTACCTAGAAGTGGAACTAGGTGTGAGAAAATGGCTGGTTTACTAATACATACACTGTTCACACTGAAAGACATGAAATTCTTGATTACCATTGTAGAATTGATAAATAATAATTATGCTGTCTCATAAAATACTTCATTGTTCCTTTAACGATAGCTGACGTGGCTTGGGTTAGTATCTTGTATTTTCATGTATTAGTAGTTGCTTTTACCCCAAAGAGCAGCACTATGCCACATAGCTGGTTGGTCATTTTATTACATTTATTTCACAGTTTCCCAAAGATGTACCCTATGGCTTATAAAATTATGCTTTGAATAGTCCTTTCCCTTTCATGTTATCTACTGCTGCATTTAAAAGTCACTGGAAAACTTATTGACATAAAACAACCATTTTACGCTACTCAGGATTCTGTCAGACAATACACAGTAGAACTGGCTTTTTTCTGCTCCACAATGTCTGGGGCTGGCTTTCACCTCACACCTCTGATGACTTGTCAGTTGAAACAGGTACATATGACCTCTCTACATAGTCTTTCTACTTCTCTAATCTGCACTTCCTCATCACATAGTAGTGTCCCCTGGGAATAATACAGAAATGTATGGCATTTTTATAATTAATTTTTTTAAAAGAAAAAACAAAATTGACTTTAAATGTATTGTGGGAAAGGAAAATTAGTGACCAATTTTGGTTATGAACATAGACACAAAAATCATAAACTTGTTGGGAGTGGTGGTGTGTTCCTTTAATCCTACCTGTTTGGGAGGTTAAGGCAGGAGGTTCCTTTGAGCAAAAGGGTTCAAGACTAGCCTGGGTACATAGCAAGACATCATCTCAACAGAAAAAAAAATCATAAACAAAACATAATCTTTTGTACATAAAAAGATTAACATAAACGGCAAATTTAGATTTATTCTAGGAGTGCAGCATTGGTTGATATTTCAAAAATCAAACAATATTAACAGAATAAAGAAGGCTAGCAAAATTTTTAATAGATACAGAAAATTGTTTGAAAAATATCAGCATCCATTCATGAGCCAAAGGGAGGAAAAAAAAAAAAAAAGAAACACAATTCCCAGAAAACTAGAAATAGAAAGGAATGAGATATTGAAAGCTTTACATTTGAGACAGAATAAAAGGGAAAAGATTTGCTATCTTTTTATAATCACAGTGGAGTTCCTAAAACAAGAAAAAGAAATAAAAAGTA